TTCCAGAGTAAATTGTCAGCGAATTTAAATTACCCCACTTTTGGTCTATGTGTACGATAAATGAAACGCCAATTTGTTGTTGTTGTGTTTTAATTTTATATATCATTCTTGCTACGTACTTTATGTTAATTTAATAATATGTGGTTGATTTGTTGCTGTCCTTACTGTCTAAATTAACATTTTTAAGACTTAAGTTATTTGTCTGTATTGTTATTTGATTATTTTATAATAATTATTATATTAGTGACACTCATCGAATAAACAATATACATATCTTATTAGGTGCGTTTGTTTTTAAGTCTGTCAATTCTTGTCTTTGTTTTGCCTCCAAATTAAATGTTAAATCTTGTTTCAAAACAATCGAATACAAAGAAGAAAAAAAATCATGTATACGGCGAGTCTGACTGAAAAAGAAAAAGCCGCTACTCTTTTTTTCTGCCTATAATACGCTTTATTGCCTATAATGATTTTCATTTTCGCACAACGCAAATGTCATTTTCGAGAACTAAAGTGATGTCGACATCGTTGGTCTTACAATGTCCTGGCAAACCTATTGTTTGTCACATATTCACATTCTTATAATTTGCAAATTGCAAGAAAATCGCCATTTACCTACAATTTAAATACAATAAACTCACGTCGTCATCTAATTAAACATTTTTGTTGTTGTTGTCGATTTGTATTACTAGTAATTTTGTGGTTCTGTATTTCATATAACTGGTGGTAAACACCACAATGAACCTACAAAATGCCACAATACAACATTTCTACGATACACACGTTTATAACTTATTACTTATTAGATAAAAAAAAACCGTACATGCTACTCATTCATTTAAGTTTAATTTTAGTGAAATAAATAAATGTGTGTGTGTTTTTCATCTGACAATATGACAATTTTGACTGATTGAATAGAGGAAAAAAATCTGTGGCCTGTGAGAAAACAAATAATTATGTGTGATAATGCGAGCCATTGCGGAGATGTCTGGTTATGTACATACTCTGGAACGCCCAGGCTCGAATCCATTTAATCGAGTCACAAAGTGGATAAAAAAATATGATCAATTTTAAATTAGAAGGAAACGACTTTTTTTTATGGTAACCTGCATGTCAGAGATATTCACTTTTACTTCGCATTCGTATGAGAAATCGAAAATTTTGTCGTTCGAAAATGGGTCCGTTTTTCTCGACGCTGATCTCAGTTATCGTATATCAGCTGAACGAATTTCAGTCAACTGGGTGCGTGCTTCGTGTGTGGCCAATAATTAATTAGGTGTAATAAGGTTAATAGTGGTTAAGGAGACCATCATATGGTACCTCTCTGATTTTTCATGAGAGAAAAACAAAACATCGTACAACTCCTCACCACTCTTATCCCAAATTGTCACAAAAGTAGAAACATATTGCGAAAAAGTGCCACCAGCCAAGGAAATCATTTCAAAGTGCCACACTCAACTGCCTGAATATTTAGACGTTGGCTGATATTATCGCTGATTACAACTCTATCTAAAACAGGCCACATTTTCAAATAAACCAAAAATTAAAAGAAGCTCTGCTTTGGTCAACAATTTTTAAGACTGAGCATGAAAAAACCCTGGCTTTGTACTGATCTGTAAATGTCTGTTTAAAAATCGTCTACTTTTGATATTGCTGCCAAATTGTCATAAAAAAAATGTGTATAAAAAAGCTCATGTTCATCGAATTGCGTTAATTTCATTAAGATATTTTAATCGGTGAATTAGTTGCATATCGAATCAAAATCACACTGCTCTTACTTATGTGTTTTTTATTTTGAAATATTTTTGTTTTCTGTTTGCACATTTGATTCTGCAATTCATCGACGCAATTTGTTTCATAAATAAAAAGAACGAAATAAAAGAATTCTGCTGAATATTATATTTTATTCAATTGTGATTTGTGCTTTTCAACTTGCTTAAAATACGTTTTTTTTTTTGTTGTCTTTAATGTTTCTTCACTTAAATACTTGTTGAACTAGGAATATTATTGTTTTACAAATATGCTTGTATGCTCTTTTACATATCTATATCTGTGTGTGTATTTCACATTGTATCCGTTTCGTCCTTCGTCATTATTAGTTCGATTTGTTTGTAAATCTTGTGTGTATGTGTGTGTATGTGAGTGTATGTATGTTCTTCATCATCCTATTTGCAGAAATTACTTGTCATTTAGATTGCTTAACATATGCGTTATAGGGGCAGCATGTTTTGGCCTTGGTTTTCATTTTCAAATTGTAGTAAATTCATGTTAAATTGTGGTTCTCTCTAATTCAGTCACAACAATTATGAAAAATCCGATTTTTCTTTAAACATCAAGTTCCTATCATAAATATGGCACAATGGTTTTTTCTTCACTTTCAATTCTATGTTTTCTTCTTAAAAATGTTTGTTCAGACAGAGTTTGATGTAGTCGGGCGCTAGTTCAAAAGCGAATGGAACTATTTCGATAAAATGATGAATGAATGGCTGGTCGGTGAGTTGGATGATATGAAGAAAGCGATAGATTATACAAACAAGTTAGATATGAAGGAAGAATCAAACAGACGTGTTTCGGTTTTTTATTTTGTTTTGTTTTTCTTTTGCGTTAAGACAATTACGACAACAGAAAACGAACAACGAAGAAGAAAAAAAGTATAACAAAACACATTTTATTTAAATAGGGAATGCATCTGCATATTACATAGTAATAATAGGTTTAAATCGACGACGTGAAGAGAATACACTCAGTCATATTTTTGTTTAAATCAAAGATTGCATGCGTCGTATTGAAGTAATATTAAAGTTTTTATATTTTATATCTCTCTGTGTGTGGTGTGTGTGTGTGTATTTGTTTGTGTTTGTGTGTCAGTGTATGTGTTACCTTACCCAATTTTGTAATCAAAACAATTCCATTCGCAATGATCAATCATTTAATAATAAAAACATGCAATATATTTTCGTAAATTGATCAGAGCTTGTATACAAATCTATAGCTAGAATCCGTTTAGTTGCCATTAAAATGCAAGTGTTTGTATTTGGGAGGAGGGAACATAGTTAACACATATCATCGTATGTTTTCAATTTCTTTCTTCTTTTTTTTTTGTCAATCGCTAACGTATGTAAAACCATACTTTTGTTTTCTTCTCGCAATTTTTTTTAAGTACAAAAGGAACTTGATTCTCCTTCTTTATTCGATTGATACAATATTTTGTTTGTTTGTTATTCATTATTTCTAATGTTAGGAAACTATTTTTAATATATATATATATAGATTCTCTTCCTGGTCCACGCAAATCTATAAATGGGTGTGTGTGTTTTGTGTGTATGTGTGTGGGCGAAAAGGATGAGAGCGGAAGTGCTTTAGTATTTGATTTCTTTCTTCAAAACTCAATAAACAGTATTTGTTTTACTGTAATGAGATTCAGCGATTTAGAAATTCATGTGCATATCCTTTTCACGGTGGGCGTAAAACAAGAGGACACTTTTTCATGAATATTGACGTGCATATAAATTTTGATGATTCGGTTTCTCACATCAATTTGTGATTTCGATTCACATTAAATTCTTGAGCTTTGATTTCGGTTCAACTTCCAACAATACATATTTGCTTCTAAAATACTTTCAAATTTTGTGGTTTTTCGAATTATGGATTTGTGTATTGTGCGAAATGAATGAAATGGAAATGGTGCATGTTAGAGACAAAATTACATCTATTGTATCGTTTTCTTTTTGTCAAATTGGATTTTGTTTTTTCGAAATTTTATGCAAAAAGATCCATGTCAAAAAATCATATCTTCTTCGTCATGGGTACGTCTTCCTTGGAGAATGGATTTCAAATTATCAGAATCGGAATTGTCTGGAAAAAAGTCTTTATTTTTTCGGAAGAATAATTTCAAATCCGTTTTCCGAGGAGGGTTCCACTCTTCGAGTGCCATCTTCAGGTCATAAGGAACTTTTTAAAAATCAAGTCGGAATTTGTTTGAAACATCGAGAAATAAAAAAAAACTCGAAATACATGACATGAAAAAAAAAATCTATTTCAAAAGATATTGGTTTGCCTTAAAATTTCGATAGATGAAGTGTTTTCTCTGATGAATGTGCTTGCAAATGGATTCGATTAAAAAAGATTAGTTGCCTATAAAATAATATTTAGTTTGCTGCATTTTATGGAATCGTTTGTGATGTAACTGGTCGTATTTAGTTCGTGGCCAAATAATCGATTAATTATCTTAAATTCTTCTTCATTTCACACTCAACATTCGAAACCTACAGTAGCACAACATTTCGGACACTGAATGTTTTTCTTTCTATTTATTTCATCTATTTTGAGTGTGTTTGTGTGTATGTGATTATTTGAAACAACAGAAATGGGTAACGTGTGTGTAAAATCTTTGGTAAGTGCTAACTTTGCTAACTTGTTTCTGTTCATTTGTGTGTGTGTGTGTGTGTGTGT